GTTCCCTCTCTTCGCCATCCGGCCGATGTACCTGGCCATGAGGTGAGCCTAGCCCAGCCCTGCCACACCTTCGACCCCTCCCCCTCTGTCTCCCTCCTCTACTGAAACTATCCTCTCAGGCAGTTCAAGAAAGCTGTGACTGACGCCATCATGTCTCGCCGAGCTATCCGCAACATGAACACACTGTAAGTGGGCCTGTCCCAGCTGCTCGCCCAAGCTCTGCCCTGGGTGCCCTGCCTCCAGCTCTGGTCTTGACGTGCCCTTGGCCTGTTCTGACCAGGTATCCAGACGCCACCCCAGAGGAACTGCAGGCGATGGACAATGTCTGCATTATCTGCCGAGAAGAGATGGTGACTGGTGCCAAGAGACTACCCTGCAACCACATATTCCATACCAGGTGGGAGAGGCCCAGAGGAGCCTGGGCATCCGGAGTGGCTCTGGGAGGCAGACCCCCAGGGACCTGCCAATCACTGCCTGGTCTTGACCCCCAGCTGCCTGCGCTCCTGGTTCCAGCGGCAGCAGACCTGCCCCACCTGCCGTATGGACGTCCTTCGGGCATCGCTGCCGACCCAGTCACCGCCGCCCCCTGAGCCTGCAGATCAGGGGCCACCACCTGCCCCCCATGCCCCACCACTCCTGCCCCAGCCCCCCAACTGTGAGTGGCCCTTTCATCTGGCCGTGCAACACTGTTGGGTACTTGCCCTGGACTGGGAGTGGGAAATCCTGAGGTGAAACAGTCCCTGACCTCTAGAGGGGGTCGGGGGGCCACGAGGGCTGGTCACCAGAAGAGACATAGATGATTGCAGTCACAAGTGATCTGTGCTGAGCTCAGAGAGGGCCTGTGGGAGCAGAGGACAGAGGACATCCAGACCTCTGCCTGCGACCTGGATCTCTGTTTGGACCTTTTCTCACCACCAGTCTTCTCTCTGCAGTCCCCCAGGGCCTCCTGCCTCCCTTCCCTCCAGGCATGTTCCCACTGTGGCCCCCCATGGGCCCCTTTCCACCTGTCCCACCTCCCCCCGGCTCAGGAGAGGCTGCGGCCCCTCCGTCCACCAGTGCAGGTGAGCCCTTTGGTACCGCATCGGCCAGGGGATGGGAGGAAGGGAAGCAGGGGCCCGTCAACGCTTGCTGACTTCCTGTTCTTGCTCTTCAGCGGCCCTTTCTCGGCCCAGTGGAGCAGCCACAGCCACAGCCGCTGCTGCCGCCTCTGCCCCAGCACCTGGCCCTGCCTCCTCCCCGGAGGCCAGCCCTGCCCCCGGCTTCCCGTTCCCCCCTCCCTGGATGGGCATGCCCCTGCCTCCGCCCTTTGGTAAGTGGGGCCTCGCCAGGGGTGGCTTGGGGAGAGGGGGGGTGTCAGGCCCAGGCAGCCCAGGCTGAGCTTCTCTCTCTCCCTTCAGCCTTCCCCCCGATGCCTGTGCCTCCCGCAGGCTTTGCCGGGTTGACCCCAGAGGAGCTGCGGGCTCTGGAAGGCCATGAGCGACAGCACCTGGAGGCCCGGCTACAGAGCCTGCGCAACATCCACACGCTGCTGGACGCCGCTATGCTGCAGATCAACCAGTACCTCACCGTGCTCGCCTCCCTGGGGTATGTCTACACCCGGGGCCAGGGCGGGCGGCGGGGGTGTGGGGCTGCCAAGAGAAGGCCCCAGTGGTGGTTCTCAGCCCTTTCCTCCTGCCGCCCTCTGACACCTGTTCATTCAGGCATTCTACCTTTAGGCACACCCAAGGTGTCAGGGTTCTTGGTGTCTTTTTATCCTGCCCCTGCACAAGGCCCGTCTGGATCTACAGAGGAGTGGGGTTTATTAAAGAGCTGACCTGAATCTTGTTCCTTTATACTTTCCTAAAGTCAGATTACTCATAATTCCTGGTACTTCAGTTTTATCATGTACACCCTCTTGACACAGGGTAACACTGACTTGGGAATCACTGCCCTTGATCTGAGACGGCAGATAAAGTACCTTTAGCTAGCCTGGTCCGAGTTCAAGTCCTGATCCTGTCACTCACTCACTTTGTGACTTTCATTACCTTATTTGAATAGAAGTGTTCTAATTGCTATTAGCAGGGAACGTGTACAGAGTGCTTGGCACCCAGCAGTGTCGGTACAGACTTGGAGGGGAGCTTGAGTCTGAGACTCGTGTGCTCTGTGGGTTATTCGGTGGACTGTCTTAGTTGGTCTGGAAGGTGCCTGGCACCTCAGATGGGGACTCGGCAGTGTAACAGTGAACACGGCCTGCAGTCCCTGCCTGTACGTGGTTTACGGTCTGTGGTACAGAATTTCAAGGAGTCACACGTGTTCACTGGCGTCTGCTGGTGACCTTGTCGGTGCTGGACTTCACCCTGCCAGGCTGACCAAGTGCAGAGTCTGTCCAGTCAGGCCAGAATGCCACACCCTCCTCTTGTCCCTTCTCTTCCTAGGCCCCCCCGGCCTGCCACCGCAGCTAACCCCACTGAGGAGACTGCCCCTACCGCTGTTGCTGCCACCTCTTCCACCAGCAGCCCCAGCTCTGAGGCCACCACTCCATCCCCAGGAGACTCCCCACCAGCCCCTGAACCTGAAAAGCCTTCAGGTAGTTGCGGTCAGCCTGCGAGGAGTGGGCCAGGGGACTTGTCTGGGTTCCACCTCTGGACCTCTCTGTCCTTAGCTCCTGAGTCAGCAGGCACGGAGGAGCTGCCTGAGGATGGGGAGCCTGACGCAGCGGAGCTGCGCCGCCGCCGTCTACAAAAGCTGGAGTCCCCTGTTGCCCACTGACAACGCCCCAGTCTTGACCTGCCCCTTCTCGAGCAGCCCTCACTGGGACACATCCTGCCAACAAGTGCCAGCTCCCTCCCTCCCTGCACCAGGGAGTAGTAACCCCCAGCTCTGGGCGGAGGAGGTGGCACCCCAGACCAAGTGGAAAGAGGCTGGAGGCCCCAGCCAACCCCAGCCCTTACAGTCCCCTGGCAGCCATGGGGATTTGGGGTCACTTCAGGCTTCCTCTCCAACCCTTCAGCCCTGTATTCTGCTGGGCCCGTGAAGGCAGAAAGGTGCAGCATCTGAGACGCCCTCTGACCCCCCAACGCCCTTCTGGGAGAATGGGCAGCCCCTCTGAGCCCCGCCTTGTGTGTGGAGTCACGCTGTAGTGCCGAACAGTATTAGCTCTGGTTCCCGAGTGTGGACTCAAGGGGCTGGAGGCAGGCCAGGAACTTGCTCCTGGGCCTGCCCACCAAGACTGGTACCTAACCTCTTCCTACCTAAACTCTGCGGAAGCTCTTTGCAGTGGTCTGCTGTGCCCTTTGTGCCCTGTGGCACTTTGATGTCTTACTGGCAGCCACACAACTCAGGGAAAGGAGTATCTTGGGGGGGACGGGCAGACTGCGCTGAGGGGCCCTGCTCTGCCCCTCCCCCCTGGGCCTTTTCTCCCTGTAGTTTGTTTAAGGTGAGACTTCAGTCTCACCCCCCAGGCACCAGGCAGCCTCACTCTAGGCTTGAGAGCTCGGGTGTCTGCTTCTGAACCACTGCAAGCCTCAGAACCTACGGAAAGGCCACTTCTTAACTTGCAGAATTTTTCTTGAGTTTAGAAGAAAGGGAGTTACTTCCTTGCTATGTCTTCTGGCTTAAATTTTGAATTGGAATGCCTGACCCCAGGAAAGGGGAGCAGGAGTGCTGAGCTCCTCATCTTTCCAGTTTAGAAAAGGCTCTGGGCCAGGTAGGGCCCACAGGAGCCAAGGCCTTGCCTGCCCCTGTCTTTTTCCCCTTGGTTTTATGTTACAAGAGTTGCTGGAGACAGTTTCAGATGATTATTTAATTTGTAAATATTGTACAAATTTTAATAGCTTAAATTGTATATACAGCTAAATAAAAACTTGCATTAATGACTGGTGGAACTGGTATGATAGGATTGGTGTGCCACGTTCCCTCTTTTTCTAAACTCAGGTTGTAGACTTGAGAGTGGCCTGAAATCTGTGGGCTTATTGATACAAGGCAGTACTGTCCTTGAGCACAGTGTTGAATTATTAAGGTCTTCAGAAAATATGCCCTTTTTACATATGAAGAAACTGAACCCCAGAGAGGGTAAACCCTGTCTGAGGTCAGAGCAAGTAGGGGAGCCATGCTTTGAACCCTGTCTTGAGCCAGCTTGATGCTGAAGGGTGGGGTGGGATCTCAGGTCTCTGGCCTTTAGGACTCCCAAGGTGGCGCAAGTGTGAAGGTTCCTTGGCTGGGGCAGAACAGGACGATAGGGACAAAAGGTCAGTATCTTCTTGCCTCAAGCACCCTGTCCAGGCTTGATAGTAGGTCAGCAACCTGGAAGGGGTGGCTGTGGGCTGCGCCAGGAACTCTCAAGGAGCCCTGCAGGCCAGCTAATCACTTAGCTTCCTGGAGCTGGAAACCCAGTCAGGTCCAGCTCTAATACAGAATGAGATGGAGGCCACTTTTTACCTCTCCACGGGAAAAAGGAATGAGCCCAGGGTCTGACATGCATGGCACTTGGAAATGAAGACCTCCAGGATCTGTGTATGAGTCGTCCTGGATTCTCTGTAGCCTCTACCAAGCCAGGTCTGACCTAGAAGGGCTCAGGGATTTTTTTGTAGCAGTGAAGGTCTGTGGGCCAAGGAAGAAATGTGCCCAATGGGTCTGCCCTGGGCTACGCTCCAGTAAACCAGGCTGGGCTATTGCTTTCGACAGAGGGGCAGTTAACAACCTCTAAAGCTTGAGTAGCTGAAGTCAAGGAGCTCCAATGAAGGGAGAGCAGGATCACGCCAAAGTGGGGAAGAGGGGCAATTAACACTTGCCTCTAGCTTGGCTGCTTCTGCTGGGTCTCCAATGTTAGCCCTCCCCCAGTGCTGGCACTCATACAGAGTCCCATTTCCTCCTTTATGCATGCAAGGCCTGCTCCAAAGCCCTCAGCCCTGGTCTCTGTACCCGCTCTTTCCTTGTTGCTCCAACAGCCTCCTCCCTCCTCCTGGGATCCCCGGGACTCCAGTCTGAGGGGGACGCTGTCACGGAGGCTGCTCAGCTGGGCATCAGAAGCCCTTCTCCAGGAGCCAGGCTTTGAGCTGCTGATCAAAGTAGCCCTTGATCCGAAGGGTACCAGTCACCTCATTGACCTGGGTGATAGGTGTCTTCCCCAGCAGTGGGCTCAGAAAATCTTCCACATCCTTCTGCAGGGCCTGGGGGAAGATGACGGATCAGACCTGGTCAGGAGACCCTTCTCTCCAGAGGCTTCTGTCCCTTCAGCCCTGAAAGATCACAATTGGACCCTGACCTACCCACCCACTTACCCAAATGTCCCCCTCCACCTTCCGGATCACAGTCATCTGACGGTTTCCATGCGTGATGTCCTTGTAGACTGGGATGTTGTGCATCCGAGAGCGCCGCACGAAGTAGGGCAGGTTGGGTGGGGGGTCTGTGACAGAGGGACAGGGGTAAGTCAAACGTCCTCAGACGTCCTCTCACCTCGCCTTTCTCCTCAGGGTCAGTGAGCCCAACGGCAAAGCCACCTCCAGACTTCAGATCAGGAAACCTGCTCTTTCCCTAAGTTTAGTGCCAGGATCAGCTTGTTCACACTGGTACCTCAAGGCCCAGCACAGGCCTGGCACCAGCAGGTGCTGAAGAAGAAATGAAGTTGGGGCTATGCCTCCCTGGATCTTTGGGTCTCCCTCTGGAGCCAATCGTTGCCCTTCTCCACTGGGTCAGGGAGGCTAAAATCTATCTGGCACAAAGGGATGGCCATTTACAAGAACTGAATACCTAGCACAGGCCGAGCTCTGCACAATGCACTTTATGTGCTGAGCAGATGATCTCTATTTTGCTGAAACTAAGGCTGGGAGAAACTAAGCAACTAGATCATACCGGCAATGCATGGCCAAACCAAACTTGGACACAGAACTGCCCAACTCCCAAGCTATGTTCTCAATTATGGCCGGGGTGGAAGTTTCTGGATCATCTCTCTATGCTTCACTTTTCCCACAGGAGAAGACCTCACCCCAACAGTGTGAATGGATGGGTCCTACTAAAACAGGTATCCAATCCCTGGCCCTTTGTTGAACCTAAGATGCTAGCTCTGAGTGATCTCAATATAAACCCTCTGAGGAGTCAAGAGCCTGGGCCAGGGCAGACAGACCACTAGGGAGGGGAATGTTTCCCTGCAGCCTTCAAGCCATCCCCATCACCCTGCTCACCTCTAGGGGGCTGCCAACCACAAGGAGTGGGATATTGTTCATGCTTTGGGGGCTTTGGGATGCTGGTGGGGGGTAACAGGCGCTCCACAAAATGGTATTCATCCACAGACTCTAGGAAGCCGGGGTAATCAGGAGTCCCCTGGGTCTGGCTCTGAGACAAAAAAAAAAAATCTCTCCATCAGCTGGCAGAACTTCAGTCAAGTAGAAAAAGGGAACATTAAAGGCAAAGAGAATAGTATAAATAAAAGGCTGGAGTTTAAATAGTATAAATAAAAGACCGCTCACTGCACTGCTACCCCTTTCCTGGGGTCAGGAGGTAGGAAAGCACCAGACTTGAGTTTGCCAGGTTGCAGGGTACAAGTCTGAGGGTACAGGGTTACCCTCAGGGTACAAGGCTGAGGATATGATGGTTAGTGCCACGGACTCAACAGACATGAATCTGAGCAAACTCCAGGAGATCGTGAAGGACAGCAAAGCCTGGTGTCTGGCGTCCATGGGGTCGCAGAGTGGGACACGACTTAGCGACTAAACAAGAAAGGGTACAAGTCAGGAACTCAGAAGGGCCTGCCTCTCAGGATTTTTGTGGGACTCAAATGAGAAGTGTGTGTATACCTCTGGAAAGTGTGTGTATACCTCTGGAAAGAGTAACCCTAGGTCTGACCGATCCAGCATTTTTCAATATTTTAGTTTCCTCTGAAGATTCTAGTGAACTATTCTACCTCTGGGTTAGGGACTTTAAGCAATCCTGATAATTTCCTACCCACACTCATCTGAAGTGACCTTCCCTCACCTGGAACATTTCATGCTCAAATTCATATGGACACAACCAGGCACTAAGTGCTTACGGGTCATGTTTTCACTTAATTCTTCTAATTCGACAAGTTAGGGTTTTCACTACCTCCTATATACATCCAAGATAGATTAAGACATTAGCAAACAATATACCTAAGGTCACATTACAGTCTGTCCTTCCATACTTCTCCCAACAGAAAGCCCGGGCTCCCAGAGTTACAATGAGAATAAAAAGATGAAGCAGCCTATATATCTTGAGTCCTAGGTTCCCAAAAGTGTCGCCAATGATCTGAAGCCAAGCCTCACCCTCTGGACCGGCTTCTTCAAAAAAAAAAAAAAGGCAGCAGCCAAAAACAGAAAAAACTAGGCAGCGAGAGTCGGATGTGCTGATTAACTCAAGTGGTCCTGTTAATTTAATTAACTCAGGTTGTCCTCCAATCATATTTCAAGCCCCACATTCGGAAACGCGCTCCAGGCCCTGCAACCTTCTCTATCAATCCTTCTGAGCTCCAGAAAAGTGCCCCCTAGGAGGGACGCAGTTTTTAGACTACAAGGCACACAGTGAGCCTCACACCTAGCCCTCTGCCCCCAGCTCCAGGATCAGCTTTCTCACCAGTCGCCGTAATCCGCAGCCCGGCGGGACACCGGTTCTCCAGCCCCTCAACACAAACCGAAACACAGTCGCCGCCATCTTGAGCTGCCGCCTAACTAGCTTTCTGCGCGCGCAACCAGCCTGGTCCCGCCCCTCCCTGTTAGCCCCGCCCAGGACCGAGAAGACGCCTGCGCAATCATAAAGAGGCGGAGCCAGAACGGCCTCGGGCGCTACAAATATCAGAGGCATTGGCGGTCGCTCTTCAGTGACGTGACACGCAGCAGGCGGAGAGGACGTGTGAGCCCTCGCTCCTTCCTCTTTCTCGACTCCATCTTCGCGGTAGCGGTAGCGTTGTCCGCGATCTAGGTAAGAGTTGGGCTACGGGTGGATCGGAAGGGCTTAATAGCAGATTGGCCTCGAGGTTAGAAGACGCGGGAAAAACAGGGAACGAGGGACTGTTCTTGGGGCTGATCCCCGTCGGTCCTCCCTGGCAGTTCGGGCCTTACCCACGTGAGACCCCGAGACCACCTACTTCCCGGCGCAGTCGTCTCCGGCCGCCCACCCATTTACCGATCCTCCTCTCTCCCAGAGTATTTCTTTTCTTAGGAACCACCCCTCCCTTTTTTTTTTTTTCAGTCGCCAACATGCAGCTTTTTGTCCGCGCCCAGGAGCTACACACTCTCGAGGTGACCGGCCAGGAGACGGTCGCCCAGATCAAGGTAAGACTCCCTGGTGTCCTCTGAGGGTTGTGTGTGTTCTTCATCCTCGCTCCTTGAGGGAACGCTCAACCTTGTTCTCCATAGGCTCATGTAGCTTCGTTGGAGGGCATCGCTCCAGAAGATCAAGTCCTGCTCCTGTCTGGCACACCCCTAGAGGATGAGGCTACTCTGGGCCAGTGTGGCGTGGAGGCTCTGAGCACTCTGGAAGTAGCCGGCCGCATGCTTGGAGGTGAGTTGGGGAGGACTGTCTTTTGAACCGCTTGTAAGCTTATGGGTGTAGAGTGTGTTATCAATCCAGGGTGGTTGTTCCTGTTTACCTCCCTCAGAAGGAACTTTTGAGCAGTGCATGAGAGCCAGAGTATAGTTCTGTTTCAGTCACTTACCACATAGACCCTTGTCTGTGTCCTAGTTTCCTCGCTAAAACTGGGAGGTCAGACCAGATCACCAAAGTGCTCTTTGTCCTTCAGTCGCTAAGGGTGTCCCACTTTTTGCGACCCCATGAACTGCAGCACACTTAGGCTTCCCCGTCCTTCACTATCTCCCGAAGCATCCTTAGGTCTTGTTTAAAGTCAGGAGCTAGAAAATTCTGAAGTGACATGCCAGAATGTACCAGACTAGACATTCCTGGTCAGAGTTCAAATCTCTATGACTTTGTTTTCATTTCCTCTTGGGCCCCTCTTGCCTTTAAAAGCTTGAGTTGAGGGAGAAAGGATTTTGTTGGGTGGTGCCTTGTTCTAACTGCTTGCTGTCCTCCTTTCCCACTACAGGTAAAGTCCATGGTTCCCTGGCCCGTGCTGGGAAAGTGAGAGGTCAGACTCCCAAGGTAAGTGAGAGTATTAGTGGTGATGTTTGGATTTTGTTTTTTCTGGCACAGCTGAGCCAAAACCCTGGGCTTTTGCCCTATTTGGTTTCTCTGTACTTGGCAATGAGCCAGAGGGAAGGCCTAGAAGAGGCAACCTAGGTCTGATCATCCCTCCCTTTTCCCAGGTGGCCAAGCAAGAGAAGAAGAAGAAGAAGACGGGCAGGGCCAAGAGGCGTATGCAGTACAACCGGCGCTTTGTCAATGTTGTGCCCACCTTTGGCAAGAAGAAGGGCCCTAATGCTAACTCCTAAGTCCTCTGTAGTCTTGGCTTTCTCTAATAAAGCCACTTAACCCAATCATACCATTGTTTCATTTTCATTTCAAGGGCCTGAGGGAACAATGTGGTTTCTAGGGGTATGAACAGGCCTCGCTTTGCTTTCTTAGCATTGTGAACTCAGTGACTGGACGAGAGTGGAAGAATGGTAAACATGTTTTTAAAAAACTTCCTGTGAAAATTGGTAACCATAGATGCCAGCCCTTAGGGGAATATCAGTCTAGTGTTTCTCTGAACTTGGAACTGGTGTGGCCTTACTGGAGTCCAGGTCAGGAATCTGGTCTACTCTAGCTTTAGAAAGTGTTGCCTGATCACATTGGCACTACAGTGATCGATTGTTGTGATTTCCTGACTGGCCTTGCTAACCTAATCATAGACCTCACAGGTGAGGTTGCGTGGTTGATGGGTTCAGTCTTCCCAGAAATGGAGTTATCTGGAGCTGATTAAAGTTTTCTAGAAACACATGCATACACATTCATTCATTCTGCTAAGGTTTTTGAATCTCCTGGTTCTTGGGATACAGCATACTATGGGGTAAAGACCTTGGGCTCTAGACTTCGACTGTCTTGAGTCTGGATCATTGTTCCATTTATTCACTGGCTGGCTGGCTTTTTTTCTTTCTTTTCTTTTTTTTTTTTTTTTACTGTGTTGAGCTTAAGGGATTCTGGTTTCCCAACCAGGCAACCAGGGCTCGAATCCAGGCCTGGCAGTGAAAGCACTGAGTCCTAACCACTGGACAGCCAGAGAAGTCCACTGCCGCCATCTCCCAGATCTTCATAGCTGCATGGGGAACTTTGGTTGCACCATCAAGGATCTAGTTCCCTGACCAAGGGATTGAACCTGAGCCCCCTGCACTGGGAGTGTTGTCTTAACCACTGGTCCACTAGGGAAGTCCTTGCTATCTTCTCTTGAAAGTTGCTTTTGAGGATTAAAGGATATAAAGTATTTAGATCAGCTCCTGCCATCTAGAAAAGTGCACAAATGTATTGGCTATTTTTGTCTTTTATAGTGAACTTTCTAGAAAGACTGGCCCCATCTCTTTTAGGAGTTTAGTTTCTTGTGAGGAAAGCATAGTTACAAGTGTTGTTGCCTTAGAAAGTAAGCAGGGTGCTGTAATGAAAGAGGGAGTGAGTGGTGGACAGATAACTACCCTAGGAAGGTCTCGGAGGATGGGATATGTGAGACCTTAAACAAGAAATGATTAAGTGGTGAGATGGTGAATCTCAGCCAGAAGAACTCTGCAGCGGTGTGTAGTAGATCCTGCAGGGGGTGTCAGTCCAAGTGCAGGTCAGGGTTTTTAAGTAAGGGTCTGCTGGGATATGACTTGTGATCTACTTTCTCTGGCCGACTTTTCTGGAGGGCTGGCAAAAGGAAACCAGTTAGGCTGGTGTTATCTAACTGAAGAACATGACCGCCAGGGGCACTGTGGGGGGTGTGCGCACTGTTGTCAGTCATGTCCGGCTGTTGGCGACCCCATGGATTGTAGCCTGCCAGACTCTTCTGTCCATAAGAGTTTTCCAGGCAAGAATACTGGAGTGGGTTGCCATTTCCTCCTTCAGGGGATCTTCCTGACCCAGGGGTTGAAGACCCCTGTCTCTTGCGTCTCCTGCATTGGCAGGCGGATTCTTTACCACTAGTGACACCTGGGAAGGGAGGATGCAAAAATGAGCAGACTCTTCAAATTCATCCAGGTCTTGGTAGGGAAATAGATGATCCATATTGAAATAAAGACAAGGTGTTTTAAAGGTAGAACTAACTAGTTGTGGGACTGGATATGAGTAAGGTGAGGCACCAAAGAACCAGAGCTTTCAGGGATGCCATAAATCGAGGCGTCACAGCTTTTGGCACAGTTGATGAGTCACCCCCAGTCTACCACAAACTCAGCCCCATTAGGACAGGTACCCAATCTCATTTTACTCTTCGGTGTATTTTCTTTGGAAGTCAGGGAGGAGCTCTATTTGTTAATGTTGCTTCCTCCAGAGGGGAACAGCCCCCAACACACCCTGTCTAGGCTAAGTACCCCTCCTTGGTCTTCCTTTTACTCTCCTTCCATTCTTCCCTAGTAGAATGGCTGCCCCTCCAACGCAGGGACGCCTCATCTCACATCGACTTGGCACAGTTAGTGGCCCAGAGTAGGTCAGTTCAGTTCAGTCGCTCAGTCGTGTCCGACTCTGCGACCCCATAGACAGCAGCACGCCAGGCTTCCCTGTCCTTACCAACTTTAGTCCACATTGGGTTTTGCCAAAGCGCTTTATGATGATAAAAGCAACCACTAGGGGGCGGGCTGGTACCGACCGAGCTCCTGGCAGACGCACTTTTCCTACGCTCCCACCGCGCAGGGCGGGGCTACCTCACCCACGGCTCCTAGGCTGTTTGTCGGGTCAAGTGGGGGGCGTGGCTTGACCTCCGAATGAGGCCGGAAACTGCCGGGAAGAGCTTTGACGTAGCGCTCCGTCCGCAAAAAGGCGGAAGTAACCGAGAAGCGCCGGAAACTTCCGATTTGCGGCGAGTGTGCGTTAGTTGGCGGTGTGCTGCGCCAGTTACCATGGAGCCGGCGGGGCCTTGTGGTTTCTGCCCCACTGGGGAGGCCCAGCCGGCTCGCTACACCTGCCCTCGCTGTAACGTGCCCTACTGCTCGCTGCGCTGCTACCGGGCGCATGGCACCTGCGCTGAAGAGTTCTACCGTGACCAGGTACTGGGAGAACTGCGCGGCCGCAGCGCCTCGCCCAGCCGCCTGGCCACCGCCCTGCGCCGGCTGCGTCAGCAACGTGAGACCGAGGATGAGCCCGGGGACGCAGGCCTCAGGCCGGGCCCGGCGCCCGGCGGCCTCTCAGGACTCTGGGAGCAGCTGTCCCCGGCCGAGAAGGTGGCCTTCGAGCGGCTCCTGAGCCGAGGTGAGGCCGGGCGGCTGCTGCCCCCCTGGCGGCCATGGTGGTGGGGTCGCGGGGCCGCACCGCGGCTTCTGGAGGAGCTGGGTGATGCCCCAAGTGGTGATGCCGAGGAACTGGAGCTCTCCCCCGCGAGGATGCCGCCGGAACCCGTGAGGGATGAGCCCGCGGCTGTCGAGCCGGTTCTTGGAGACCTCCCCGGGGCCTGCCCTCCCGCCGTGCCCACCCGGATCCCCGCGCTGGCCAGCCTGAGCAGGGACCGGACGTCGCCGCTCGTGCGCTTCCAGCTGCCCAACGTGCTGTTTGCCTACGCACACACTCTGGCCTTGTATCACGGCGGCGACGAGGCGCTGCTCTCGGACTTCTGTGCCACACTGCTCGGCGTTTCCGGAGCCCTGGGCGCCCAGCAGGTCTTCGCCTCTGCCGAGGAAGCCCTGCAGGCCGCAGCCCATGTGCTGGAAGCAGGCGAGCATCCCCCCGGACCTCTGGGCACACGGGGTGCCATGCGCGAGGCCGCCCGCATCCTCCTGGGTGAGGGCCCGGCCAACCCGAAAAGCTACACGCTGGCAGCACTGGGGGACCTGGCGCAGACCCTGGGCCGAGCCCGAAAACAAGCTGTGGCCCCCGAAGAACGAGATCGCCTCTACCGAGCCCGAAAGAAATGCCAGTTCCTTCTGTCTTGGACCAACGAAAATGAGGACGCCCTCATACCCCTGGCTCTAGACTGTGCCACGGCCCACCGAGCCCACACTGTGGCGGCCGAGGAGGTGGCAGCCCTCACGGGGGAGCTGGAGCAGCTTTGGGGAGGCCCCCTGCCACCTGCCCGGAGGACTCTCATTGAGGAGCTCCCCGGCTGAACCCTTTGTCGTTAATAAAGCTGTGACTGCTCTGCCCTGTCACCAGTGCCCATTTCTGAGTGGTGGCTCTTGTGCCCCCGTCCCCCAGACTCTTGGGCCCACAAACAACCGGTCAGCTTCTCCTTGATTGGGGCTGACCCAGCCAGTCTTTAAACAGCATGGCCCCAGAAAAGAACAGAAGCAGCACCAAGGATTCCAGCTGTTTATCTAAGGAGGAAGAGCAGCCCCCTCCCCCCACCCCATTTTGGAGCACTGGCTTCATTTCCCCCTTGCTCCAGCCACCTATCCGGCTGTTCATCCCAGTGTTTTGGAGCTCAGGGCAGGCTAGGGTACAGGCCCTTGTGTCCCGGGTGCATGCAGGCTCCTGGTGCCGAGTATGCTGGCAGCTGGGCGGGCACGTGCCCCCACCTGGGGTGTCTGGAGCTGCTTCAGTAGACGTAGGGCACGATTCGGTAGGGCACACGCCGGCAGTATTCGTGCCAGGCCAGGCCATACTTCTGCAGACACTGCCGCTCATCCCGGTCCTCACGGTGCACCAGCAGCGCAGTGAAGTAGAGGAGGTAGAAGTAGGGCAACAGGTGGAACACCCCTGTGGGGAAAGGGGTTTTTCTGACCGCTCAACCAGCCCACCAGTTCACAAACGTTTCCGCCACTAGTGGCTCACTGTGGGGCATCGGCTCAATACTGAAAGGGCCAAAGTCTGCAGGGAGAGCTGGCATGCTAGGCTGTCCCAGAGGTCTGCCCCAGCCATAGCCTGAATGCATCCCCGCTCCCTGATTACTCCCTCCCCTGGGGTGCAGCCCTGTTCTCCATTCCGCATCCAGACTGGACATCCTCTACCTTGGCCCGACACACACACACACTTGCAGCTCCTCTCAAATCACTCACCGCACGGCAAGGACCAGGCCAGAGCCATAATGAGGTCTCCAAGGTAGTTGGGATGGCGGACCATACCCCACCACCCGGACACCAGCAGCCGTCGCCCTGTGGCTGTAGAGATGGTCTCAAGGTCTGGAGAAAGACACATAGCGGGATGGGGGAAGCCTTGGAAGTCCAGCCACCCCATCTCACTCATAGCACCCCAGAAACCCAGCTCACCAGCCACTCTGGGATCAGAAGGATTCTTTCGGAAGGTGTTTTTCTGAGAATTGGCTCCACGGAAGATGTAGTAACCAACAGCTGGAGGGAAAGCATGAGCCGGCAGTCAGGGGCCTTCCATCTGACCCTGACCAACTACCGACAGCCTAGACTCAGTCTCCCAGGAGACTGAGGACCCAGCCCTTAGCTTTAAAGAAGCATGTGAGGCTTAGCACCTACTCAGGGGTGCTCAATAAATGACGGGGGGAAGGGGAATGCTGCTCCTTCCCAACTGACCATTGATGAGGCAGATGAATGAGGCCAGGGGCCACCCCAGAGGCTGTGGGTGATACAGCAGGAACTGGGCCTGCAGGCTGTAGGTGAAAGGTACCCAGGCGAGGTCCCCAAAGGCCAGCATGAAGCCAAACCCATCATGGATGATGTCCATGGTGGTCAGGACTGCCTCCTGCAGGGACAGGACCCAGACGCACTGGCTCAGTTCCCAAAAAGCCCTCAGGCACCCTCCCCTGCCTCCCCAGCCCCGTCCTGCCTCACCTCGTACCAAAGGGCATCACCCACATACAGGAGCTGGAAGCCATTGACCAGCCACATGGCCAGTGAGGGACTCCCCCGAAGTTCTGCTTCCTGCATCAGCAAGGCCAGGTTGATGAGGACCTGGGGGTTAGGCAGAGGTGAGACAGGGTAGTCCATCCCCAGTTCATTTCTACAAAGGTGACAGCGCCTGGAAAGGCAGCAACCAGCCTGTCCCCTTGTCTCAGCTCTCCGTCACTAACTCTCCAGGCCTGTGTTGAGTGGCTCCAGCCGTGTCCCCAGGGGCAGAGAGACTGCATCTGTCCACCTCCTGACCTGTTTTTTCTTGCCTTGTCCTGCAGTGTTCCCTTTGGGAGAGCAGCATAGGGAGCAACTGGACACTTCAGGCTTGAGAGTTAGATCAGACCTGGTTTTGAATCTCAGCTTTGCCACCTGGGCAAGCTGCTCACCCTCTCTAAAGCCTCCTTTCCTATCTCCATGTAGAAAATGGAGATAATCATGCACGTAATGTGTGCAGGGCTCAGCACAGTGTGTTTGGCCATAGTAAGTGCTCGAAAACGACTAGCTGGCATTGAGTCTGGACTGAGCACCCCATTCTGTAGCACTGGGCTTGGTGTGGTCAGTCAGGCTACCACTTCTCATCCTCACCATCATCTTGGGAGGAAGCTCCCACTTTACTCCATTTCACACATGAGGAAATAGCCTCGAAGGCCACGATCCAGGCCCCGGATGGGCACTTAGCATTCCTCCTGCCTCTGGATGAAGCAGTTTCCAGGGTGACAGGGACCTTGCCCAAGAGACCCTTCAGGAAATCGTGACCACAGACCAGTATGGGTATTTATAAACAAAAACACAGTTGGCCTGTTGTCAAGGCCACCAACGATGGATAGGTTGCTAAGTCCATTGATGAATTTGAAGTTCTGCACCGTTCTGACCTCTAGCAGCACAGAATCATCTCTTCAAAATAGATTTTGCACTTGACAGCTTTATTTAAAATTGTTTCTCCTAATTCCCTCCATGCTTTTTCCTCATAGCATCCCCTCACATGTGACATATTTTATTCCTATTAGAATGTAGGCTTCATGAAGACAGACATTTTTTTTTCTTCCCTGTAACTGTTTTTCTTTTGTCTCCCAGTACCTGGAGCAGTGCTTTGAGCACATGATGGACTCAACAAATATTTGTGGAATGATTAATGACATGTCAGCACAATTCTGGCCCAGCCCTGCCCTGCTCACCCATCCCACCCCTCCCCCTGGTTGGAGGCCCACTTAGTCATGCCCAGCATACCCAGCCGATGAGGCCAGGTCGCAGTTCGCAGAAATATTTGAAGTCAAAGGAACAGATGCGTGGGTTGAGCTCCCGTCCCAGGAAAAAGTCGTAAATGAGATTGCCTGGAGAATAATGGAGGGTGAAGGTGCAAACCAGTACCCCCATCTGCCTCTATCCTTACCCAACTGGGACTCCTCTCACCTGAGTTCCCCCCAGGTGCCCGGGCTGAGGCAGGGGCTACCAGAGCCTTCAGATACAAAAGGAGGCTGAAGATGAAGGCGGTGAGGGTGGCTGCAAATGCCAAGGGCAAGAGCATTTCCGGGAGTGCGCTCAGGGGCAGCCCGGCTGACACCCCCAGGCCCACCAAGAGGGCTGTCAGCATCAGGGCCTGGAAGCCTGAACAACAGCACATGGTGAGTCTTGGGATTGAGACCCTCCACCTCCCCCAAGCCCAACCCCTAAACACACACACACACACCCCTAAGTGTCCTGGGATTAAGACCCTCTCCCTAAGTGTCCTGGGATTGAGACCCTCCACCTCCCCCATGCCCCACCCCTAAACACACACACACACCCCTAAACACACACAATCACGGTCTGGAAGCCTGAACAGCAGCAAAAGGTGAGTCCCGGGATTGAGATCCTCCACCTCCCCCACGCACCCCGCCCCCCCCCACACACACACCCTAAAGGGAGATCGCAGATCTAGCCAGTAATCTGACACTTTGGCTCTTGGAAGGGTCACCCCAGCCACTTCTCTGAGTAGCAGCAAGTGCTAGGAATGGAGGAAGGAGGGGTGTGGAGAGGACCAGTGAAACCCCCTATATCTGTCCTGAGCGTAAAAGAGGCGTAAAATCAGAGTTTGGGGTCGTGGGCGCATCTCCATGACCTTCCCATTGGGCCTGGGGCTCCTCCCCCAACCCGCAGCTCCACGCAAGGACCCAGCCCCCAGGCACCGTTAATGGGGTAGCGCAGTCGACTCTTGTCCTTCAGTTCCTGCCCCTCAGCCACCTGCGGGCACAAAGCGGTTCTGATAAGGGTTGAGGGGGGCCTTCCTTCTTGCGGAGCCCCCACCCTCCGTCGCCTCCCCCGCGCGTTCGCGAGCAGAGGCCACACCTTGCGTGCCGGCAAGAGGTAGAGCGCCGCCTGCAGGCCGAGCCAGGTGAGACAGAGCAGCAGCGCCCACGGGCTCCACAGCTCCTCCAATCCCGGCAAGTAGGGGGGTGGGCCCAGGAGGCGCGCCGGGCCCGAGCGGGCCACCAGTAGCAGGTGGAACATAGTGACCGGGAGCAGCAGCATCAGCGCCGCGGCGCCTGGGGAAGGGGGCGATCGCGTCCGGGGGTCCGCTCTCCCTGACCCCCACAGGCACCCTGTCGTATCCAGGGCCCCCTCGGCATTCCCACTGCCATCTTCCATATCCAGTTTTCAGGCCTTGGTCCCCGCTCTGACTTCTATCCTGCTCCCCTCGAGGACTCCGCTCATGTTTCCCCCAGTCGGCCCAGTCCACTGCACAAATCCCCAGCTCTGCAACCCCTTCTCCAGACACTCCCCTGCAAACCCCTAGATCCCACTGCCTCCCGATACCCCTCAAAGTCTTTCACCCTCAGATCCCTGTTCACAGCTCAACCCTCCAGTTCTCCCTCTAAGTCTCAGGCTTTAAGTACCCCCTCTCTGTGCCCCATTACCCAAGGGTCCTCCGAATTCCAGCGGGGCCCGAGAACCCTGAGGCGAGGCCATGGTCTCCGCTGCGCTGGGGGTTGGAACCTCTCAAACGTCTGTCAAGGAAACAGCCCATCCCATCCCCCAGGAAACCGGCTCGCTGCCGAGGAGGACCGAGCCCAGCTGGTCTTGCACCTGTCTGGGCAGCAGACAGCGACCGCTTTTGTCCCGAGGTCTTTAAATGGACCCGCCCCCGGCCCATCCTGGGCCCAGCGGATCAGCCAATCGGCTCTCGGGGGCGAGACCAACGCGAGCACCTCCAAAGCCGCCTCTGCAGTCTCTGGCAGGCTCACAGCTCCACCCCAGTCCTCCAAGTCCCGCCCCGCCTCCCCGCAAGCGACAGAGAGGAGGAGACAGCACGACTTTATTAGGCAGTAGGCAAAGCTTGAGGGGAAGGGCCGCCGGGGCAGCAGACCAGGGGATGGGAGGATTGGGGCGACTGGGCAAGCCCGCGTAAGGCCGTGACGGAGCCTAGCCGCGCTCACAGATGACCTCAACGACACTGGGTTCCATGGGCACTGGGTCCGGGCAGCGCAGGGCAGCTGAAGCCACCACTTCGTCCAGCAGCAGGTGCACAAGCTCCTCATCGGCCACGAAGCGCCACAGGTAGAGCTGCAGGAAGTGGCAGTCCACCTGCACCTGCTGCAGCCCGAAGCGCCCGAAGGTGCGCAGCCGCACGCACTCCAGCAGTGTCTTCAGGCTGATCTTGATGATGCCGGTCAACACCGACACCTGTGGACGGGGACACAGGGATAAAGAGCCACTACAGCAGGTGCTGGGCGGGTGCGGGATCCCTGAAGGCACCGCGTTCTGTGCAGGGGCCAGGGAGCCAGCAAAATGCCACGTAGCTGTGATGGGGTAGAAAGTCCCAAAACCCAGGTAAGAGGGAAATAGGATGTTTGTCTCATCACCTGGAGGGGAGCAGACAAGGGCCCAGCGATCTGAGGCAGAGATGGGGTCAGCTGGGACTTAGGGCAGGGAAAGGCTTACTACCTTGGAGAGAGAGCACCAGGTCCCTAAGCGTGGGCTGGCTGGGGGCAGAGATCATGGGGTGAACGGCCATCCCCAGAGAGGACCTATGACTATGGAGGGCGTAAGAACAAGGGCCAAAGAGGTAGACTAGGTGACCCCTCAGACACAGGCTTAGAGCACACCCAGGGCAAGGCGGAGAGCGATGAGATGTCGTGGTGGGGCGTTGGGTGAGCACTCGCTCCTAGACACATTTCCCAGAAACAGAGACGAGGAGACTGAGTCCCAGGGCTTCCTGGGGCCAGTTTGGGGCTGCTTCAACCAACCTTCCCAAGGGGCCCAGGGAAGGCAGGGTCACTGGGGAATTCGAACCTTATTGAACTCCACAGGGCTGAACACGTCGATTCGCTCAGAGAACAGTTTCTGAATGTTGCTCAAGAGGTTGGTGTCCATTGGGGCACTGGATGGGGGGAGAGGAGCCATCAGAGCCCACCCCTGCACCCGTCTTCCTTCCCCCCAATCCCGGGGCTACCCTGACCAGCCAGACCTGGGTGTATAGCTGGGTGCGTAGCGGCCCTGCTGCCTAGAGCTGCTGTAAACCGAGAAGGTCCTCTTGCTGGAGTCGCTGCTCTGGGCCTTCCGAACACCCTCCTCGTACAGGAGCCCCACCTGGTGGCAGAAGGAGGAACTGCAAGGAGGCCAGAGCATGGGGAACTTCCAGCCCAAGGATGCCCTAAGTTACACTCATATGTTACAAGAATCACATCTTATAAAATAAACACAAGTGAGTTGGGGTGGGGGGTAGGGGCTGTGCCTCGCTGGTACCCAGTCATTATTTATAGAACCAGTGGAGTGCAGCAAAGGTGGAACACGAGTTGGTACTGAGGCCCAACCTTCAGTGTCGACCCTGCCCTGATTTCCCGGGTGACTCTGGGCCTCAGCTTCCTCCTCTGAGGTGAAACAGGGGTGATGATGCCACCATGGCTGAGGCAGGAGGCCAGAGATGCAGGCACTGCCTGACCCCAGCTGTCTTGATCCTTAAGAGGGCTGGTCCCCCAGCACCGCCGGCCAGCCTGAGGCAGCACCTGCACATCGATGGCCGTCGTGTCCTCCACCACCCGCTTCATGACGGCACGCACGTTCCGAGGCTCCAGGGTACTGAGCCAGTCCCGTGTCTCCACGCTCTTGCGCAGCATCTGCGATATGACCAGGCCCTGCACCTTCACGTAGTGGGTCAGCAGGCGGCGTGCCGTCTCCCTGGCCTCCGCACACAGTGTGCTCACGGGCGTCACTGGAGACTGATCCTGAGCCACGGATGCAGAGGACAGGCAGTCAGTGGGTCCTGGGGGCAGGCTCTGCAGCCAGTGCCCACCAGGGGTTGGGCACAGGCTAGGCAAGGGGAGGCTGAGTTGGGCACAGGCAGCCCTATGAGGGCACTGACCAGTCTCCTGTGTTCCTAGCTTCACCACCCCCCACCTTGCTATGAGATAGCAGTTCACCTGCACCAGAAACTGTTCATCCGTGAGGGTGAGGATGTAGGAGATGGTGGCCGTCTCGTAGTCCAGGCAGAGGCGGGAGAGCAGCAGGAGCAGGGCAGGTGGCGTGGCACCCCCCTTCTCCCCGGGGCTGTCGCAGAAGCTCTGAGCCGTCTGGCACATGGAGCGGATGAAGCCCACGATGAGGCTCTCACGGACGCCCTGGCTGCAGAACTCGCCCTGTGAGGAGGAGGGGACCTAGATACACAGCAGGTCCCCTCTTCCAGGCAGAGGCTGCCAGTGATGTTCTACTGGGACCCCAAGTGCCGTGGCCTCTCTCATCCTGTTTCCGGTACCTGAGAGCGGCTCCCCTGCTTGCAGAAGGGACTGCAAGGGGACAAAACCTGCACTGGGGACCCTGCTTGCAAATGCCCTCAGAGCCTGCCCCACCCCTCCAGGCTGTGGCAGTCTTCAAGACAGCCTGAAACCACATCCAGCCTGCTGGGGCAAAGACTGAGGGCCCTGGAGCTGTCAAGCCACATGCAGGATGAACAAAAGAATGCCCCAAAAAAGAAAAAAAAAAAAAGGATGCCCAGGGACAGGCCGTACCCGGAAGTAGGGCTTGTTGGAGAAAGACACCTCCTTGGCGGTGAAGAGGTGCACAGAAGCCAGCGAGGCCTTAATGTGGCTCAGGATGGAACTAGCCACATTGGCCAGCAGCTCCGCCAGGCCGGGGCCTTCCTTCCCAGCAATTCGAGGGGCGGCCAGCGCCTGCCGCACATCCGTCAGGCTGCCCAGGAAGGCCGCCTGCAGGCCCTGCAGATGGTGGCCCAGGCGCTCGCGAGCCACGCGCTCCACGATGTCGGTGGCGGCCTCCGCCAGTCCGGCAGCGGCCAACAGGGCCCCGGGTGCGCGCAGGCGCCGGTGGAAGCGGTCCAGCGCCCGCACCAGCAGGGAATTGTCTCCGCCGCCCTGCTCCTGCGCCAGCCGCCGCTCCACCAGCGCGAAGTAGCGGCTGCCCAGCTCCCGGGCAAAGGCTGCTAGCTTCTCGGCGCCCGCCGGGCCCTGGGCCGCAAACAGCTCCTGGTAGGCCGCCGCCACCTGGCAGAGGCCACCGACGAAGCCGCTGCCGCCGTGGTCAGTGAACTCTAAGACGTCGGGAGCCGGAGGGGAGGGCCCCAGCTCCGCCTCCAGGCTTCTCAGCTCCTCCTCCAGCCGCCCTCGGGCGTGCGCCAGGAACTCCTCGCACAGCTCCTCCGCGGGCTCGCCCAGGGCCAGCAGCAGCTCCACGCACTCGGCTTGCTCAGGGGCGCCAGAGCCGCCCTCCCTGCAGGGAGGGAGACGGAGGTGAAGGGCAGGAAGACAGAACTCTGGGGGTGGGTAGGGGAAGAGCAGACCCAGGAGCCCAGCGGCGGTGGCATGGTGGCCCAGGACCCACACCTGAAGCGCTGCCGAAGCTGCTGGGCCAGGCGAGCCGTAATGACCTGGCAATCGTCCTGGATGGCGCGGAAGGAGGGCAGGTGCTGGTATTGCTGCAGCACGGCCCGCGCGCGGCCCTGGTATCGCACGGCCTGCCCGTAGGCACCCAGCTCCACGCACTTGGTGAGGCGCGAGGGTAGCTCGAAGAGGAACTGCAGCTTCCGCAGCAGCGCGTGGACCCCTGGAGGACAGGCGGAGATGGTGTCAGCCTCAAGGGTGGCCCACTTTAACACTGGCTCTGGGGCGCGGCCCACCTGCCAGCTTGGTGATGCGCTCGTGGCGGTCCTGCAGCGTGGCGCTGATGCGCGCGCTGAAGTCCGTGATCACCGCCATGTTGGTGGCCAACCGGTCCATCTCGTCCTCCATCTTCCGGAAGTCGTTCTTCATCTTCCGGATGGTGTCTGGGGGGACAGGGGCGCAGGAGAGGGAAAGGCGGATGACTAGGGGCGCAGGCGGGACTCAGCTTGACACGCGGTCCGGGTGCCCTCACACACACTTGCCCCTTCCCGCCAACCCCGGACGCGCCTGAGCTCACTCCTGGAGGGTCACATGGATGACTCGGTGCTTGAAATGGGCAGCAGTGGTGCTTGGTCACCAGGCGCCAGGGTGAGGTGTCATGTCAGTGCCCCAAAGGTTTTTTTGGGCACCCCCTGTGTGCCCCAGGCTTGGATGCAGAGAGAAGATGGCCCATGAAGCCGCAGTCTTTGCTCTCAGAAGATGCCCAGATTCAAAGGAGGGTACAGGGACCTGTCCGCTGGGTCCCAGGGGCATCCTCTGTGCCCAGCACCCCGCCTGGCACAGGGCAGAGAGTAAATACTTGTGCACCCTTATCTTTTTCCTGGACTTCCAAGCCGTTGGCCTTCTGGAACATGGCTGACGGTCTCTGAAGGGCCCTTCCTCTTCAGTCCTGACAGAAACCTACCTAAAGAGCCTGTTCTTCCTTTCCACCCAGGTGCTCAGAGCTTGGCCCCTTAAAGCTCCTACACAGCTTCTTCTCCTCCTGCCTTTGAAGACCATGGCATCAAACCGCATCCCTTCCTGTTGCCATCCCACTGTCCTCTCTGCCGTGTCTCAGTTCGGGATCACTTTCACCTC